ACAAATACCTCCCTGTTAGAATTTTTTTATTTAATAGAATTAATTAAAAAAGTAAAATTTCTAATTGTTCACTTATACATAATAAAATTATTTAAATTATTAATTGAAATAAAATAATAACATTATTAAAATTTGTTAATTAACTTAATAATTTATTAATAAAATGACCTATTTGTTATGAAATTAGAAACCTTAGAGGGTATAATGTAATTTTTAGAACCACATGAAATAATTTATAATTTAAGTAAACCTAAGGGGTGTGTTTGTAATTTAACCTCTGTTTGGGAAGTTGAGTTTGGGATTTTTTTGGTTAAAATAGCCACAAAAAAATAAAATAAACTTTTTAGTCTAATAAGACAAGATAAAATATCACATCCAATCTATAATTATTACATTTTTTCTCTAACAAAAGTCAAAAAAATCTATCCCAAACGAGATTTTTTAACCCAAGCTAAAATAATCAAAAAATTAAAAAATTAAAAAATCAATCCACTTTCCAAACAAATCTTATGCTATTTTTAAATGCATTAGAATCTTCTTCAATACTCTTTTCTAAAGTAACATATCGAAATTACCTTATTTGGATTACATTATATAAGTATATATATATTTTTATAAATGTATTTATTTAAGTTATATCAATCTATATTTTCTTCTTATTTTTTTATATATTTTTTATAAAAAATAAAAAAATAAACCTATTTATAATTCAACAATGATTCATCCCACTAAAAACATCACCACTAATAGCACTAATGCATTAAAAAAATAAAAAAAATAAAAAAAAATTACAACTCCAAGACCAAAACATCACATCATTCATGACGGGACCCACTGCCACCTAATTAGTGGGAGCACTAATTAGTGCTCTCAAGCATTTTTTTTTATAATTCTCAAAAACTTGAGTTTATTGGATTATGTGCATTAGAATTTCTTATTATTATGCCTAGGGCTTTGGGCTTGTGGAAGCCACACTCTCATGTAGACCCCTCTACTAAAGTGGGAGGGTATAATTAATTCCATGATTCCATCAAAGGTAAGGTTAGGTAGTTGCAAATAAAGAACCATGTGCTAAAATTTAGTTTAATATACTTTTAAATTGGTATCGTCAAAATTCTTGCTGCCCACGATATTTTTTAACTGCACAAGGTTTAGGCCTCGTTTGGAATGTGAATTTATTTTTTAGTTTTTTTTAAGTATCTTAATTTGAGATTAAAAAGTTTTTATTTAGAATGAATTTTTTAATTTTTTAAACTTTTGTAAGAGAAAAAATATAATGATTATGGGTTAGATGTGATATTTTATTTTATTAAATTAAAAAACTTATTTTGTTTTTTTTTGAGCTAGTTTAGCCAAAAAAAACCCAAAACTTTTTCTTTCCAAATGAGCTCTTAATTTCACTTTTAGCCACTAGGCTATTTTTTTATCCATAAATTATTAATTTTATTTATTTAATCTCAAGAATTTTTAATTTCGATTCACAGAGTTGAATAATTGTGTAAGTTCGGCTTCATAGACGACAGTGGCAGTGAGAGCGGAGAAGGGAGGGCATGGGAGAGGGGAAGGGGTAGGAAAGATGATGAGTGATTGGTTGGGAAATAAAATTTGTTTTGAAGTAGTAAGAAAAATAAGTATTTGATTATATGATTAAAGTTATTTAAATTTTGAAATACCTATCACTAATCCTTCAATTAAATTCAAAAACTCTAAGAATTAAATAGACAAAAATTGATAAATTAAAGACAAAATTTAAGAAGTAGCATTAATTTAAGAGGTAAAAATAAAATTAACCTAGATATAATACATCGTGCAATTAAAAACAAAGAAGTTGTGCCTCATAAATTTATCAATTTCCGACAAATACTAACTCTATTCTTAATTCTAATCCAAATCCAAATCAAAATCAACTGCTTGTGCACATGTTTTCTGTTTTAAAATTGAATTGAACTCATATAATATATTGTTAGAAAGAACAAACTTCATAATAATTCATTATACAATATTCAAGTCAGATTTTCAGAAGGTAATAAAAAACCCAATTGTTTAATTAAATTTTCAAACTTTATCCCCACATGTGTACAACCCCAGATTGGTTAGTCCTCTCTGTAATTACACCATCCATGGCATCATTATACATCTTTGCTTTGACTTTTTGGGTACGAATTGGTTTCAAAATCAAGAAAATTACAATATATTGGTTTTGGAGTATATGTATGTATGTAAATATAACATAATAGTACAATAATATAATGTGACTTTCTTGTGGATGCCACACTCCCCTTGATTAAATATCTAAAACCCTAGTCATCAATCTCATTAATTTTATGTAATAATGATGATGATATCACATGATTGAGTATTCATGCATTTTACTACTTCATTTGGGAGTGTTAACTGGTTTTGGGATCTGTATGTATCACAGCTGCCTTCATGGTGAATTGACAAAAGGAAAATAATATTTGTTACTAAAATTATTTTACTATTTTATTTCAGGTTTTAGCTTCGTTAAAAATTTTATTGAGATAAACAAGTTTAAATTTAAATATATTTTGAATTTCATTAAATTTTTGAAAAGTTTGCTTGAGGACTATTTATGTAAATAAATTAAATTTGAACATATTTTAAAATTGGTTAAATTTTGAAGTCAAAGTTAAGCAATTTACTACTCGCCTCGTTTACAATTCTACTGTAACACATGAGAAATCATATGAAGAGTTTTAGTAAAATATCCTGGCATGGTTACAAGAAAAAAATGAATCTATCTTAGTCGTGATTTTAAATATGACTCGTTATGTATTGAGATTTTGAAGTTCAATTGTCATTATTCATCAATATAAAATGGATTTGGCTTAGATTTAACTAAACTTGTGCCCTTCTAACATTGCTACATGAGAAGAAAAAATGACTTAGACCCCAGTGGGGTGCCAGGGTCTTTCCTGATTGACTAAAAAAATTATTATTTTTTGTTATTTTGAGTTTTAGTCAGTGACAGATTGTCACGTGGCACTTGGGGGTCACTGGGGTGCCCAGCTGGGGGTCGAAAGCACTGCTGAGATGAGAAGTAACCTGTTTTCCAGTGGGTAAGTACAAGCTTTTGTTTTCTCTGTATTCATGGTTGTTGTCAGGAGCAGAGGTAGCATAGGGATAGGGGTCACGTGCCCTCCCTCATTTTTGTAATTTTTTTTATTTATTTTTTATTATTATCATGTGTAAAATGTTTTTTTTTTCTTAACATGTTCTTTGACTAATAATTTATTATATTGTTCACAACAAGTAGTTATTTGATATTTTAAAAATACTATGTGTTATTATTTATGTAGTAGTTTAAATCAATAGTGTAGTGAAAAATATTATAGATTGGATATAATGAACTCATTATTTTTAAGCAGTTGACATGCCACTTAATGTGATTTGTGATTTTTTATGCTTTGAATATCACGTAGTTAACGCTATATGGTACTCTAAGACTGTCTAATAATTTTCATTCAAAACACATCATTTATAAGCAATGTCATCTCTTTAATATTTTTCTGTCAAATAAAAATTAAATAAATTTTATAATAATATGTGCTATAAATGATGTGTTTTTTTTTTAAAATTAAAAATTTTGATCCATAATTTTTTGTGCTAAAATTATAAATTTACATCATCATCCCACACCGAGCTATTCCACACTATTATAGAATTTTGATTTGTTCTTATTAATAATGAATATGTAATTTTTTATGTTTAAATTTATCTCATAAAATAATTATTATCTAAATGTTGCTCATGAATTTTTTTAAATAAAAAATTATAATTAATAAGTGCCCCTCTAACTTAATTTATTGGCCCCGTTACTGATTGTTGTCATTCAATGTAAGGGGTGGTGTGGAAATACTAGTGAATAATTTTTTTGATATTTTTCTGGTTACTTAACATTTCTAATAAAATTCTCAAGAGACTAATAAAATTCTAAAAAAAAAAAGAAAAAAAGAAAAAGAAGTAGCAAGTTCGAGAGACTAATGACAAACTTTCAAGTTTAATCCAAATGAAAACAAACTTTAATTAAAGGCCACCTGAGATTGGACTTGTGTTTCCTCTCTATGAAACCATAATCTCATATGTGAATCACATAAAAAAAAGAAGAGGAGTTGGACTTTGGAGTATGCATGCTTGCCTATCTGTGCATATGGGTATATCTAGAGAGAGAGAGAGAGAGAGAGATCTTGCAGTTTTCATGGGATTCAAATTTCAACTAGCAAAAACACAAAAGAGTTTTATCACACTACAAAAAAAAATTGACTTTTTGCGACGGTAAAATACCGTCGCTAATACTCCTAATGCCGTCACTAATACTTTTTGCGACGGTAAAATGACTTTTTGCGACGGCAAGAGGGGGGTCGCAACTACAGGGTTTTTGCGACGGTAAGTGCCGTCGCTAATGTTTTGCGACGGCATTTTTTACCTTTTGCGACGGCATCGTGCAGTCGCTAATAACGTTTGAAATTTCTTGACTTTTTTGTGACGGCCCTATTTTACCGTCGCTAAAAATGTTATTTGAAATGGCAAAAAATACCGTCGCTAATAGTCTTTTTTTTAAAAAAGACACTGTTTTTTGCGACGGTGTGGTGCCGTCGCAGAAAGTATAAAAAATATGAAATTTTCTATTTTTTGCGACAGTGTAATGTCGTCGCAAAAAATATTAAAAAATAATAAAATTTCTATTTTAAATAATAAAATTTCTATTTTTTGCGACAGTATAATGTCGTCGCAAAAAGTAAAACCTATAACAAAATTAATAAAAATATTAAAATTTTCTATTTTTTCCGACGGTGGTGCCGTCTCTCTCTCACTAAGAGCTGATTATTTACATTCCATTCACAAAAACATCATAACAGAAAATAAAAATAAAAATTGATCAAGCCATCAAATTCAATATTTTACAAAGAACAATTAAACTGTACATGTTCATAAAAGCATATTTAAATTATAAAATTCACCCAAATCCTATAAAATAATAAAATAAAATCTAAAATTCACCAATCAGCACATTGGATATTTAAATGCTCTTACAAAAATTAAAAAATTTCCAATAAGATCTCAAGTTTGAGCCTATTTCAAAAATCAAGCTGCAAATTCCTTACTTCTAGAATCAGATCTTCCCCTCGGCAAAATTTATCCTTTTGACCTACAAATAAATAGATAACAGTTGCAAATTATAATCTTTTGGAGAAACCAACTATTTAAACACCAGTAATGAAGACAATGAAAACTGTGGAAAGAACACTTACGTTGTCATCAGGAACAACTGCATATCTCTCAATTGGAGAAACCAAAGCTTTCCCTGCTCACAAATAATAATAATAATAATAATAATAATAATAATAATAATGGAATTCAATGTAGTCCAAAATAGTGTAATAAACTCTTATTGTAATATACCTGGGGAATTTTTTCATGTCTGATGGGAGTGGGAAGGGTTGGACTTAAAGGGTTCCTACCTGTCTTGGATTGTAGAATACACAAATTTATTTGTAGGAACTCACATGCACAGGGTCCATCATAAAGAATTGTGAGAAGAATACTAATATGTAATTACAATTAACTCTATATATGGTAGTTAATCAGGTGTAACGAGCCAAATTCAGTGGCCAATAACTTCAGACTAAATATAGACATTGTGATTAATCCAAAATGGCCTCATGGTCTATATAGTCATTTTGTATAAGTAAAATTTTATAACAATCATCTCCTGGAGGGGAAAAAAAACAAATTTAAAATTTAAAAAGCCAAAAGAGACTTTGTGGGTAGGTTATTGAAAGCTCAGCAGCAACATCTTAAACAATCAATTTTTGTTTATAAACATTCAATCCAATATCGAACAAAATTCATTCAACCCAACCACAATTAAGGAACAATAACATTTTAAAAAAAAAAAGCTTAGGAACAATCATTAACAAATTTCTTTTCTTGTAACTTTACTAAATCATCAAACACTAAAATAGTTTCCATCTACTAGTCTTATATGCAACTGATTCAATTGGGCAGAGTTCAGTTGTAATTTTTACCCCATGGAATGATTGCAATTACACAAAACAGTTTTCACTGCAGGGAACAGATCTAAATAGAAAAAAAAACCACTCAAAAAAACATGCATGGCATTTTAACGAATATGATAACCAAACCAAATTAAGGCTTATGTCCCAGTCAAGTAGGGTCGGCTACATGGATCTTTTTTCACCACTGTGTCGTATTAAAGACTATATGCTTAGTTGATTTTTTGTTTTTTACTAAGACGTCCCATGTCTATTTAGATCTTCCCCTCCTCATAACATTTACATTTATAGTGATTACATCACTCTTCCTTACAATTGAATCCATAGGTCTTTGTTATACATGACTAAATCATCTTAGCATCTTCTCTCTCAACTTATCTTCAACTGATAGTACTCCTACCATTTCGCGCATATATTCATTTCTAATCCTATCTTTCACACATCCATCAGTAATCAATTTAAAGAAGATGATGCCAAGGTAAAATTTTATTAAATTTGGATGATCAGATAAGGCAACAGCAACATTCACCAATCAGCATCATCGCAGAATTTGTGCATTGACAGACACATTTGAGACTATTGCATTTCCTTATCTTGGAAAAGTAAGAATTAATTTTTCAGTCAGCCCAACTAGCATGTGGATGCCAAAGCTTTGCTTATGCCCACATAGTATATGCATCATTTTGGTACTATTTTCAGATTGTCTACACCAAAACCAAAATAAAACCATCAAAACAGTCATCAAAAGAAGGTTGGTGTTACATACATCAATTATAGTTATAACAGCATCTAAAAGCAGCAGAGGTCCAACTGACGCATCATCTGTTGTTAAAGTCAACCTTGATGCTAAGTCATCTTTTGAGAGGGTTTCAACCTGCATGATATTTGAACAGTGCAATGTAAGACTAACATAAAGCAACTTCTTCCGTTTGGTGAATAGACTCTGCAGTTGACAGGATGTGAAATGAAGATGGCAAGTCATAAATGCAATGGCTCTACTACTGCATTAAGCTAACACCTAAAAGAAACTCCTTTGAAAACCATTAAAAACATGAGAATGATTAAAAGCATCTTTCGAGGAAAGGAGTATTCATATTCACTCAATGTAGCTAATACCACATTTGGGGATCCTCTTTTTTGAAGCTACGTTTGTCTTCCGCAAAACCAACTAATTTATTTGACACTCTACATTCTTTCCATCTACTAGGGAAATACGGTGGAATTTCGTAATTTTATCAAGGTATTGTTTGGAACTTGAAATTAGTAAGGTAAAAGGAAAGGAAAATCTTTATCCTTCGTGTTTTCTCTCCTACTTAAAGCAAAGTTAGATTTACATTTTTCATGTAATAATAAAAATTCGTGCAATGAGGAGAAGAAGAAATTATACTTGGACCAAAAAATTCCTCACATACTTTCAAACAAGGAACAATAATTTCCTTAGCATTATCTTTTACTTTTCCCTTTACCAAATTCATGAACCAAATGGATCATAAAAGAATTTTAATTTGAATACACACTTTTTTGTGGAATTACAAGAGGGTGGAGTATAACTAAAAGAGAGGTTGATGGTAAGTTTAAAATAGTGAGAATAACTACTCATACAATGCAAAGAGAAGTGGCAACTTTAAAAGAAAATCATTTAAATGGAAAAGAAATTATTGGACAATGTTAAATTAAAGTGAGTGGTGCATGACACTGTTCTATGAAGGCAGACTCATATTCCAAAATCTGCTATTCAAAAAATATGGAAAAACAAGAGACCTATGAAACCTGAAAGGCAATGCCATATAAACAGATTTCCAAATGGGAGTGAGATCAAAATCATTTTACCATCAATTTCACAATTAAACAATTGATGTTGTCTCCATAGTTCAAAAGTAAATGGAAGTAGCATTTTTCTTCTAATATAACAAGCTATCAAACATTACAGACATCACTGAATGAGGGAGACATTACACACACAGATTCGATCGGTGCAGTGCAGAGATGAGAGATCAGGGAGAGAGAGAGAGAGAGAGAGAGGCTTACCTGTGAGACAGTGTGAGTCTATCGGGGCGAGAGAGGGAGGGACAGAGATGAGACTGATCTGATGAGATGAGAGAGTGAGGGAGACAGATTAGATCAGAGATATATCTGATATATATATATATATATAAAACAACCATCGGGCCGAGAGAGAGAGAGAGATAGAGATTGAGAGAGAGAGTTTACCTGTGAGTAGATTTCCTGTCTTTAAAATCACATTATTTTTGGGCATTACATAAAATGCACTAGAGAGTATCTAGATTCAACTTGAATTGTTAATCCTTACAATTCTATTCAGATGTTTTGATTCCCTATTTTGTCCCGTTCAGAAGTTTGGGAATAACCTTTAAACATCAACACTCTTGGACCATTACACAGGTTCTCTCTCCCTCATTATATAAATATACAACACCATCATCTTCCATACAAAACCAGCACCATCACCTTTTATTTCTCCTTTCATCTCACCATATCACCTTCCATGCAAAATCACAACCAACCAACATCACTACCATCATATTCCATACAAAACCACAACCAACTTCTTATTCCATGCAAAATGACCACCACAACTTCTCTCTCTAAAAATTATCTGAACCCACTTTTCTTCTTATAATTCAAATTAGTAACAAACCCAACCCATGAATTCAAATAATTAATATATGTAAACATTTAGATTTTTGAAATAGCATTGATGGGATTCATACCAACCAACCCCACTTTTTCTTCCTGTTTTCGACATTTCTTCGGCCCATCTTTCGGACTCCATAACTTTCGCGATTCTTAACGGTTTTATCATGTTCTTTCACCAATCTCCTCACCTTGCTTTATACTTCATCCTACGCTACCTCATTTTCTCACTTCTTCCTGAAATGGGTGGTTTCGGCATGCCGAAAGTTGTCCGAAAACTAACGTCACACATTTCAAAGAAACATCTCAAAATCTATTTCTTTCTTTTTCATCATCTACTCTCTAATGTTGCTTCATCTATAGCATTTTGTAAAAGATGGTTCTTGGTTTTGACGGAGCTGGGCAATGGTGGTGATGATGGGAGACAGATTAGATCAGAGATATATAATATATATATATATATCAGATATATATATATATAAAACAACTATCGGGCCGAGAGAGAGAGACAGAGATTGAGAGAGAGAGTTTACCTGTGAGTAGATCGGCGGTGCGATGATCGGTGTGAATCGATGAGATGAGCAACGAGAGAGTAAGAGAGTGATCGGTGCAGAGATGAACGAGATCGGTGCAGAGATAAACGAGAGGGTGAGAGAGAGAGAGAGAGAGAGGCAACTGAGAGAGTGATGTGAGGGAGACGATTAGATTTAGGGGTTTTTTTGGTTCTAAAGAGATTGAGGATTTTGGGGCGCGGGAATGGAAAAAATCGGGGGAACCGAGCGGGCGGGATGGAAAAAAAAAATCATCATAAATAAATAATAATTTTTATTTTCTTTTCGTTATTAAGGTTGATTTGTTTCATATATATTTTAATGAAAAATATTTTCACTAAAATAAAAGTTAATTTTCTGTAGTCAATGAAAAATATTTTTCTGCGGTCTATTTTTTTTTATTACTAAAAATCATGAACTAATTTTTTGTAGTAGAGGAAAAGGAGCGGCAGCAGTAGTGAAGGTGGTGGATAAGAGATGATGGTGGTGGTGATGGTGATGGCAAAACAGATTAGTGGTGAAGTTGTGGTAGTGGTAGTGGTAGTGTAAATGGAGTGGCATGGGCGAAAGAGAGGTAATGGTAGTAGTAGTGGTAGTGGTGGTAGTGGAGTGGTAGTGATAGTAGTAGTAATGGTAGTCGTAGAGGTGAAGTGGCTACAGTAGAAGTAATGGTGGTGGTGGAATGGTGTTTGCAGTAGTGGTGAAGGTGGTAGAGGAGGTGGGTGGTAAGAGAGAGAAATGAGTGAGAGACAGATAGAGAAGAGAGAGAAAGACAGAGTGATGAGCGAGAGAGAGATAAAGAGAGAAAGAGATATAGAGAGAGACAGAGAGGCAGAGAGAGAAATCGATAGAGAGAGACATATAAAAAAATAGAGATAAACAAGAGATGAGAGAGACATATAGAAAGAGAGCGAAAAGAGATGAACGATAGAGAGAATAGAAAAATAGAGAGATAGAGAGAAAAGAGATGAACGAGAGAGACAAAGAGAGAAAAGAGATGAGAGAGATAGAGAGAAGAGAGATGAGCGAGGGAGACATAGAGAGAAGACAAATGAGAGAGATAGAGAGAAGAAAGATGAACGAAAAACACACAGACAAACAGATAGATAGACAAACAGACAGAGAAATAAGAGTGATGAGTGAAAGAGAGAAAGAGAAGAGTGGTGGTAGTTGAATGACATTTGCAGTAGTGGTAAATGTGGTAGAGAAGATGGGTAGTGAGAGAGAAAGATGAGTGAGAGACGAATAGAGAAAAGAGATAGAGAGACAGAGTGATGAGTAAGAAAGAGACAAAATGGTTGCTAAAAGTGCATTTTCTTGTAGTGGATCGATAAATTGATAGGGAGCTCAATAAATAAAGAAGACAGATAATTCAAAACTCTGTTCAAAACATGGCCGGCAAGCCTCATCAATGGCCAGCAGGCACAAATTGATGGCCGACAGTCCTCTCTGATGGCCGGCAGACCACCTAGAATACCACAAAGAAAAGGCCAACACATGGATAAAAAATGAGACAAAATGGAAATAGGGTTTGGAAGGATCAAACTTGGAGCATTCTATCGCGAAAGTCAAACACTCGATGAGCAATCAATCTTGTTACTGGATGTACCTGCAAACACATCCAAGTCTTGAGGACGGTCAAAAATGGGGTGTCCACAGTAAGGCGAACACAGTGGGGGAAGATAGAGAGAGAAAGTGAGACAGACAGACAGACAAAACAACAGGAAGACAGAGAGAGAAAAGTGATGAGTGAGAGGGAGAGAGACAGGCAGAGAAAGAGATAAAGAGAGAGAAAGAGACAAAAAAAGAGAGAGAAACAATATATGAGCGCAAGAAAGAAAAAGAGAGAGAGAGAGAGAACGAAAAGAGATGAACAAGAGAGAGACATAGAAAAAAAAAGAGAGAGACAGGGAGATAAGAGAGATGAGCGAGAGAGACAGAGAGAGAAAACAGATGAGAGAGATAGAGAGAAGAGAGATAGGCGAGAGACAGAGAGAAAATGAGAGAGAGAGAAACAGGCAGACATAGAAAGAGAGAGAGATAGAGATAGAGAGAAATGAATGAAAAGAGATAAAGAGAAGAGAGAGAGATAGAGACAGAGAGACAGGAAAATGAAAAAATGAATGAAAAGAGAAATGTTATATCAAAAGAGTAAGACGACATTGTTTTTTTTAATTTTTTTTGCGACAGAAAAATACCGTTGAATTTATTCAAATCATTTTGTGACTGTATATATATGAAACTATCTCAAAACCACAATCACCAAAATCTTTTAAAAATTCACTAAATACTAAAAATACAAAAAAAATACCATAATTAAATACATTTTTTTTTTGTATTTTTTATGTATTTATTAATTTTTAAAAATATTTTTTCATAAATTTTTTATTTTTTAGATACATCTAAGTAAGGTACATCTAAAAAAAATATTTAAAATTTTAAAAATATTCACAAAAAAAAAACACGAAAGCCACTTTTTGTGATTTACTCTCATTTTTTGAGACGGCAAATAGTGTCGTCGCAAATGCTCTGCTTTTTTGAGACAGTAAATGGTGCCGTCGCAAATACTCTGCTTTTTTGAGACGGCATTTTTTGCCGTCACAAAAAGTGACTTTTTGAGACGACAAGTGTGCTGTCGCAAATAGTTCCGTCTCATATATCCAATTTTCTTGTAGTGTCAACAGATCAATAATAACAATGAATTATCGAAAGGTAAAGCATATGTAAGTATCCACTTGAGTCAGAGTTTGCCTTAATACAATGTGTACGAATAAAAAGATTTTTCTTAATTAAAATAAAAAATTGAAAATTATAGTGCAGAAGGGAGGTTTTTTTTTTTTTTTTTTTTTTTGTGTGTTTGTTTCGATTTTATTTTTATTTTTTTGGATTTTTCATCCATTTTAAAATATTTTGAGTCATGTGTAGATGTATAATAATAACCACTATTTTGAGAGGTTTCATTGGATAAAAATAAATACATGCCGCTGAGAGGTCCCAACAATATTGTTTTTTCTGGTTATATGTAAAAATGCCACCTTTATTATGTGGGGGCACAAAAGTAAAATTCTGCAATTTTTCTCAAGTATTTAAACAAGGAAGATAAATTTTGACAATTTTTTGTAATTCAAAAAATAACAAAAAGGGTTGTAATAACTTCTCCAGTGGTGAGGTATAAGATAGCATTCGGTTCATTGGGATAAAATAAAATGAAATAATCATTTTATTAAAATATTTATTCTCATATTTGATTAGACTAAAAAAATAACAACAAATACATTATAAATATAATTATTTTTCACCATTTCATTTCATAAGAAAAACAGTTATCGTTTCATTCCATTTATATCATTCTAATCAACCAAATAAAGTATAAAAGTTTCTATTGCAAACAAATAGCATCAAATTTAAAAGGTTCCTCTCTAATTGCTAAATCTGCCGGTTTGCGTAGAAATTTAAAATATTCCTGGCTAATGGCTAAATGATTTTTTTCCTCTCTAATGTCTCGCATAATTTGCTTAGACCTGGAGTCTGGATTCCTTCTAATTGGGGTTGCATTATTTTTAACCTTGCTGTATTTAGTTGGAGATTTGGAAAGAGATTTATAAAAGAAAAGAAAAATAAATAGTAAAATATAAATAAAATATATTTACATTTCATATAGTTTTATATCCTATTTATCTTTTCTTTTTCAATTTTTTTTTTTCAAATTTCTCAATCGAACACAACATTAACCTTGTGTTTGGTTGGGGAATTTGAGAAGAGATTTGAAAATGAAAAGGAAAAAGTTAGGTAAAATGTAAATAAAATATACTTATATTTCACTTAGTTTCACACACCTTTTTTATTTTCTTTTCTAAATCCCTATCTAAATCTTCCAACCAAACACAACAAAAGAAGCTATGATTTTCTACACTCACTTTAAAGGAGAGATTCACATCTCCTAATCTCGTCCAGAGAATCCCATGGTATGTCGAAAGTCAGGGAATCGGATCC